CGATACATATTTTAACTGTACTCTAGAACTATTGGCCTGTGTACACATTGTGTCTGTATTTAACATATTTCAATCTTCTCGCTTTATTTAAATATTATCAAATATAAACTTTAACGAATACATTATTTCATATAATATATTTTTCAAGTAAATATCTAAACTTTAACTTTAATTAATTACTCTGAAAGTATCTAAATTTACATAGATTAGATCAATAAAAATGGACATAGTAGTAATCCTTATCTATTCATTAATAATAATATTTCCAATTTTCTAATCAACTTTATATCGCCGGAGTTAGTTTCGACCTAGGCAAGCTTTGCTAAAAAGGTACACTTTCTTCATCAGTACCGTTACGATTTTTCTTCGTTGTGGTCAGGTGTGACCGCAAAAACCACGATATATCGTTATCGGTATCGTTACCGGTATCTTTATCGGTTTAGGTGTGACCTGGCCTTTACGCTAGCGTATCGTTAATCGAGTGGTGTGAACTTGGGCGCGGCGTAGCGAATGCCAGTAATATCGCGCAATCACTAGCTACGTTCAGACCAGGCGTTAGATACGTCTGGCGTATCTCTCATGTCTGAACGTAGCCTTTACGTACGCCACTGATTTACGACAGTCACGCATCAGTGATGTTGAACTCAGTCAGGATTTGACTAATCAAAATAAGCCTAGATATAAACAGATAATAAAATGCGCGAACTACTAATACGAATATTTCGCGCGAATATTTACGCTAGCGTTCGTTAATCGCAGTCTGGACATCTCGCTAATTTCGCCATGGATCAACGTACGCTCGACGTTAGATACGCCTGGCGTATCTCTCACGTCTGAACGTAGCCATAGTAAGAGTAATATAGTATTTATGTGCAAGTTTAATATTTTTGATATATTTTTCAACTGTAATTTGATATTTTCTCTATTTTTGATATTGAAATTTAACTCAATTTGTTGTAAATGAATTTTTTATAACTATAATTTTAATTAATATTTATTATATTTAGTAGCAGCATGACAATTTTGTTTATTAACATTTAATTTCAATAATTGCAATTATAGCTCTAAATGTTTCTTATTTTTTATCTCTTTGCTTTTTGTTATTTGATGTTTGTTTGGTGTCATTTATTTTTTTTTTGATTGGTTTGATGGTTTGGTGTTGATGTATTTTATAATTGTTTATGCCATATTCAAGGAACATTTCTGTTTATGTATTTTTATATGTGAATAGACCAATAAAGTTTATGTTATCTTATCTTACCTATCAGTAGGTTTTCCTTCAACATATTAACATAATAACGTAAAAGTCAAAACCAGAAGGCCTTCAACTCGGGACATAGTACAGCCTCCAGATCACTTTGGGCTATAACTCAGATCATGCCCCTCAGCCCAGTAAATATTTGTACAGAATAATATTTCTTGTAAACTACCCATCTGTAACAATTCAGAATAGGTATCACAATGCAAAGCAAAACACAATAACATGTTAGCATAAAACCCATTAAACCAGTCTCCTAGGACTTCTCCGAACTTTGAACCCTGCTAAATGTGCTGTACACACAAATATACACTTGCTCCAATATGAAAAACAAGAAGGGGAGGTTAAAAGGGTCATTTCCACCCTTCCACAGTATAGTTATTAATTGCACTTTTAAAACATTAGTTAAATGATTTTCCTAGCGACAACTTAGAAAATCCACATGTTGAAACAACAGAGTCTCGACAGTGTATTGTTCAAATTCTATACCCTACCAAAAATGTAAGAATTAGTTTTATGGTGATGGTAACAAAGTTGCAGGTAACACCAAAAGTTATGCACAATGAAAGAACAAAATCTTGTTAGAATGTTATTATGATAATTGTATTAAGACAAGATTTTTATTATACATTGTTTTGCAAACATGCCACCTGATAAAATTGATAATTTAGAGTAAAACCATTTTTTTGTTAGCCTGCTACCAAACCAGCTGTCGTAAAAAATAATACAACTTTTCTGTACACTTATTTCGCTTGCCCTTGCCATGAAATCGTCAGTGATAAGGAATCTTTATTTTTCCTCACAATAGAATAATTATAAAGCATTTATGAGTACAATTACTGAACTATTTACATTGCATTCTTTCTATGACTATGCCTTTTGATCTCCAATCAGAGGCTAAAGGCACCAGATTACTTTTCTTACCAATACACTCACATAATTTTATTCCTCAAATTTATTATTTTATTTTTTTTCTGCACCTAGATGATTTAAGCATTGTGTTAAATAAGAAAAAAGAATCACTTTTCCCTCACCTCATCTGAAGATTTACAGAAAAGGAAGTTTGATAAAACAAAGTAAAAAAGACTTGTCTAAGTCTTATATGGACACTTAAAACTGATATTTGCTTTGGCATTATATTTGTTAAAAACTTTCTAAATCATCATCATTATTTAAACTATTTTTATAATCATTTATCTTTCTGCATTGTCATCATCATCAATTCATCAATTACATCATCATCCATCATCTTCATCAATCATATTGTTGTCATCACCATCCTAATTATAATATTAATTTTTATATTTTACAGTTTAATAAGCTGCCTTACTGCACCGTCTCATATATATTTGATGAAATACTAAACCTGTCACCACCTTCTCAGCATGATTGTAATTTGCTACCTTACTGTACCACCTCATATTTGACTACAATACTGAACATGTCGCCTCCAAACCTCTCTGCGAGCCATTTATTTTTCAGCACCGCAAGCTTTAGACATTCACAAGAGAAACATGCACTGTAGTTTGTGTGAATCGCACGACCCATGCCTTCAAGAATTATCAGGTCTGCTTCCTCGCAGCATGATGCTATTGTTTGATCAATGCGACTAAAGGGAAAACAAAATGGATCAGAAGTTTAGCTGTTTAAAAATACAAAATAATTAATTTTCCTTCCATATCTAATTTTTTTCAACCACAATATATAATCATTAAAAAAATATATGTATATATTTACTATTACAATTATTATTTACTTAATGATTTTTTATGTTAATGAATGTATGCACTATATTAGTCATTAAAATTAATAATATTATTTATTATAAACATTAACACATTTCAATTTTAAATTTCAATTTTATTCGATCTGAAATGGCAACTTTAGAGCTGAATTACATGAGAATACATTACATACAATAAAACAACTGAATTGTAAAAACATTATTAAATTATTTAGGTAAAACATTTTAATTCTATTTACAAAACTAGAAAAAATAATAAAATTTATTAGATCAAAGATTCTAACTCTATTTACCTAATAAAATATCAAAAAATCACAAGTTATAACAATTAGATTATTATTTATATAAAAATACACATTATGTCATATAAATATATTTACAATTTACAATAATATTGTAAACCAATATAATCTTGTTCTGCATTTTTTGTGCTGATATAATAATTTACCTGTACAGTATTCAAAAGTTGTAAATATAATCATGCTGTAACCCCAACCCACAACTTATTAACAAACATGATGTATTTTACATATTTTACGTTACCTGAGATCTAAACAAGGAGACCCACTGCCATTTTGAATCAGCTGCAACTGTTTCTCATAGAGGGCTGTGCGTATGGTCTCATCCATCGTTACAATGCGCTCTACAATGATGACTAACTCATAATGAGTGATGTCATTGAGGGCAGGCTTTGAGTTGGCAGATAAGATAACCTGAAAAAACAAAAGAATTTTTATTTCATCATAGCAGCCACACTAACTTTGAATAAATAAATTCAATGTACTACAGTTTAAAACAAAATGATAATCTTGTGATGAAACAAAAAAAAACTATCAGTGATATTTGAAATTGAAACAAAAATTTAAACAACAATAAATCAAAAAGTATAATTGACATGGCATTCTATAATCATTAATTACTCATCAGTCAACTGATAACAGCAACTAGAATTCATAATACGCGATTATTTCTCTAAGGAAAGCTACACTAAGCCACCTGTGTAGCTCCTGTGATGGATTCACATCAACGAACAAACTCAGCAGTGTCATGGGTGCTATGCTTAAACTTATGAAGAAATTGAAAAGGCATAAAATTATAAAAATATTCAAAATTAGTCAAAGTGTACTTTGGTGATTAAGACGCTTAAATTTCAAATCTATGGGCACAGAAAATCCCTTGTTATACAGCAAATAATCAGCCTTGCCTGATGGACAACCATTGTTAAATATAATGAGAAATGTTTAATGTTTATGATGGACAACCATTGTTAAATATAATGAGAAATGTTTAATGTTTATGAAGAAATAAAATACTTATTCACCTGTGTTCCTCGCTTTAGGAACTCCCTAACTAGTGGAAATATCCCCAAAATAATATCAGCACCACTGTTATCCACAAATATAACCACTCTTTTATGAGGTGGACCCTGAAAAATGAAAGAAAACTACAATGATGAAACAGCACCATCATTGCTGAAATGTTGATAAGTGGAGCTATGAATTAACAACTTGCAACATCATTTCAAAGATTAATCATTTTATTCTAACCTTTAGTCTCTCTAACCAGGCATCCATGTCATCCACCAACCAAGGTCTGGGTTGAAGGCTAGACTTCGCTTCCATAAAACCAAAATTACCTTTTTCTAATAAACTGCAGATACAAAATTTATTATTTAAAAAATAATATGGTCCACAAAATATATACAAAATTAGATCAACAGTAATTTTGAACTGTCCACATTTGCTTCTAGGTCGGATGTTATACTGTAAAAATAATTAATGTTTATGAGTGGAATGGGAAGAATATTTTAATGAGCTGAAAAATTGACTGTTTCATTCAAATTCACCAATCAACTCACAAGGATCTATTTTGGTGTGTTATAAACTATATTATCCAATGTCAGGACAGAAAACAAATTATTTTACAATTTCCACAATGCAAGTCAACACAATAAAATGAAACAGGACATATTGCAGAAGAGCTTCTTCAGTGTAATTGTATAACTTACGTTGTGACAGCCTTAGAACCCCAGTCAAAAACATTGCCAGCAAGTACGCCCTCTATGAGTGCCATCTGTCGTCCAAGCCAGTTCATGGAATCTAGCTGATTCAACCGACTTGGTAGAAATTTCAATGCTGACTCATTCTCTTGACGTTTTAACTATAGGTAAGATAAAAACAACAGAACCCTTAACTTGACAGTGGTTGCACATATTTAATTTGTGAAGTTGAACTGATAAAGTTTGAAATATTGAATCTCAATGGCTTGTATCACTTTTTCAATTTGTTTCATATACTGCATCTTATGTCAAACTTATCAGTGAACCCCATGGTTTCCTTAATATATTTAGACAATGTTTTCCTTATCAAGTTTAATTCTCAATGGATCTTCTAATCAAACTTAACAACCATCCAATCAGGACTGGGACAGGAATATTGATTGTCCCACAGACACGTGTTTGTGATTACGCTACCATTTTGTGGGACCTTAACTATTCAATTCCAATTTATTCAAATAGCAGTAACACAACGGAATTGAATAATATCTAAAGGGTGGTCCTTAGATATTGTAAACATTACTCTAATTTTTGTCATTTTATAATTAATACTCACATGACAATATGGATCGGGAAAACTAAACTCATACAGACACTGCTCTCGCGTCTCGAGGAGGCTTCTGACAGTTAATGAACCGAAGGCACTGTCCAAAAACAGAATAAATCATTATATAAAAACAGGTAGTATGAGCTACGCAGAACAAATAAGGAAATATGGAAGTAAAAGCTGATTTACAGTGAAACAGAAACATGTATTTAGATGAAGATATTGATGATCTAAGCAATTTAATTAAAAACAACAGAAGTAGTAAAACCAATATTACGGGAAAAATTGCCTAAGTCGACTTTGTATAAGTCAAATAATTCCTAAGTTGATCTTACTTTACATGCCAAATTGTTGTGTTTTCCATTAATTAACGATCTGTAAGTCAAATTTTATCTAATTCGAACAATTTTTCAATGCCTTTTTGGATTCGACTTAGGAAAGTTCAACTGTATAAATAAAAAATAAATAATTTATTATTATTTTTGTGGTTCCATTTCTTCTCTACTCTGGTCTGGATGTGTAGGATGGTTTACATTAATGAATATCTCAATATCAAAATACAATACATGGAAAACCTAGTTAAAATATTTTATCTCATAATGGACAAATATTCATGAAGATCTAATCATGATAGAATTAACAAAAATAATAGCTGTATTAGTCCCAAATAGGGCCTAGCAAGAATGTGGAGGGTAAACGCTTACAAGGGCTGGTCTTGAAGTATATGTAAACGCTTCTTATACTTTTCCTTAAATGCTTCAGCTCTGTCAATTGCATCCTGTGTCGATGACTGACTTTTCATTGCATACTCCCCAACCTATAGAGACACATCAAAACTATGCTAATGACAAACGAATAAAACAAGAAACCAAAAAAAATACAAAAGAAAACCACCTAAATGTTGGCAGAAATTAACTTGTAATACCAGCATTAAACTTGAGTTTTTGGATGTTGGCTGTAACTTCATTGTCTCCCTTTTGCAAAAGAGCGCTCTGAGACAGTGCATTTCAAAGATTAAACTATTATATTAAATTATTAAATTATTTATTTTATATATGTGGTTACAGTTGCTGTTGATTTTATGCTGATGGTTTATCAAATTTTAGTATGCTAAGAAGACATGCACCCACTTACCCGTGTCAAAGCTTCTTCAAAACATTTCAACCAATAGGCACACGCATTAGCATCATTTGTCAAATCCACTAGATCAGCTACATATGTGGCTGGACATCTGAGTCTAGGACAAGGGACAAGTACTCTGTCTAGTCGATCCATTTCAAACAAATCACACTGATTGATATAAAAAATTAATAGGTAACAAAATTTTTAAGAAATCACTATTTTAGAGGTACCTCAAGGGTAGAATGAAAGGGTAGAATGAAAGGTTAAAATGGCATAACTACAGGGTCCCCAGTTGGAAGAAGGAACCTCTGGGAAATCTGCCTAATAGTATAGTGAAAATCAGGGCCCCGTGACTATTTTTCAGGGAGCAAATTTTCTCTACTAGGGCATAAATAAAATTTAAAATGGGTTGAACATATTTTTTGGCCATTTGTATAAAATTACCTCCAAAGTTTACTGAAAAAGTTTTTATTTTGGGGTCACTGAATCCAATGAGACATTTAGAATTTCTAGATGGCCACTATAACAGAGATTAAAAATTGAATATTTTAGTGTAATTCCACTCTTCCTCTATAAAAAAAAATTGTAAATTTTGGTCTAATCTTAGAATTCAAAATGGCCACCACAAAAATGTTGAAAAGCTTAGTATGTAAACCCAATTTTACTTGAAGGAAAATGGCAAATTTGGTGTCTAATCCAATAAATGTGTTTTTTCAAAGAGCTAGGATGGCAGCAACTTTAAAATTCAAGATGGCTACCACAAAGATTGTGATAATACAGCAGTAAAAACTAGCAACTAGAAATTGCAAATTGCAAGTGAAGTGCTGCGAAGTACAACTGCATATAAATGTTCTTCGAACAAAATTATTTATGCAAGTGAAGTGAAAATAATGAATAATAAAAATATAACAAATAATATGAGACACGACCCACTGTCTATATTAGAACACTTCTCATTGGGTGACAAAGTCGTAATTTTTCATTTTTGTCAAAAAGTGTATCTATAGTGGTGAATTATGGTTTAGGTTTTTTTTAATAAAGTTTCAAAAATTTCTATGTATGTGGAAAATGTTGTTAATTACCAAAGGTTACAATTTTTATTTTGAAGACTGCCTGGTCTAGGAAGCGTACATTTTTTTATGGGGCAAGTTTCCAAGGGCGGGTTTTCTAGGGGCGAGTTGACTGCCAAAGAGTGTTGCCAAAGTGCGAGACAGCGTGTTATTTGACCACAAGTGCAAGACATCGCAAGTGTGTGAGACAGCGAGCCATGACGTCACGACAATAGATATGAGACGTTACTCGAGTTGTGCGAGGTATCGGCTGAGATTTGTGGAATTCAAAAAACAACTATAGGTCAAATAATGAATTATTGTGTTAAATAGACAACGTTAGCTATCAAGGAGCGACGTTGTTTTTTATTGGGACCTTTGTCCTTTCAAGGCTAGGCCTATACCATCCTAGCTAGTCTAGGCCTAGAGTAGGATAAGGCTAGCGCGACATGTGGATGTTGGTACGTGTTGGTTAGTCTACAAACGTCGCCTAAAGTAATTGATTTTACCCGGCAGAACGAAAGAAGGAAACTCCGCTTTTCAGTAGTCTTAGGCCCTTGTTTTTGTTTTTTTTTCAAATTGCTGTCAAAATTTTGAATTGGCTGCTTCGCAGCAATTATCATTTGAGGAAGATGAGTTAGCTCATCCAAGAAATGTTTGCATGCTTGCAGATGTGCAGATGGCTGTCCTAACTCCTTAGGCTTACAGGACCTCTGGGTATTATACCTTAATTCTAAGGTAGTGTGGGAAATCGCTCATAAAAAGGCAGTAACATGTTCTAATGATCTAACTTTTACTTACAGTGCTAGGTGTGTCCGTTTCCGAGAAATCAATGAAGGGTGTCGGGCTACTAAATCCTGAACTGCCAGCAAAATTCTCACCCCATTGGTATTTATCAGTGTCTAAGAGAAAACATTATGTTCAATAAACAATGGCCTTTTGAATAAAAACACTGTAATCAAAAGTTAGTTATACTTTCAAATAAATTAGAATACATTTTTAGTATAAAAAATATAAATATATATAATTTGCCTAGCATTTGCTTGAAAAAAAAAACAACTGTAAATGGTAAGAAATTGTATATAAAATAAGCAAAGTTACCATCCTCTTCTGCACCCTTGAGAAAAGCACCAATAGCACCCAAGTAACCCTCGTGCCTCAAGTATAAGGCTTGTACTTCACCCTAAAATGAAAAAAAAAAATCTGGGGTAAATTCTTAGATCATTTTAATGAACGGTATCAAACAAAAGGAAAACAATGGTGGTAGTGGTATTATTCTACCAATTTTGCATTATGCAAATAACTACCAACAGTAACATGTGAATGAGTATCTGTGCCTATTACAAAATTGAAATGACTATAGCTCTATTTGATGTATTCCAGCTAAATCGAGAACTGAGCCACTAAGTTGATTATAAAGTTATGAAAAATCACTTTTTCAAACACCTGAAAGCATATCTACTGTAAGAAATGCCTAGTGTTCCTAGAGCTGTATAATTGATATTATATTTATGTTTTATTCATTTTTGTTTTTTCATTAAGCACTACCATCTAGATGCAGCAGCATTAGATAAGGCAAATTCTAGTCCTGTGTAGGTTTGCCAATTTTCTTTTCGTTGACTCTTGGCCAGAACTTTAAAAATACAGGTCTCTCTCTAATTAAACACCCCTCCAATTAAAGATCACTTTTCTGTGGTTGCAAATTAACAAATGTATTTTCTTTTTATTATTCTAATTAGAGACCAATGCTGCTAAAGACCATTGAAACCCAGGTCCCAAAAGTGGGCTTTAATATGGAGACCTGTAGTGTAGTTTTTATATAATTTAGTATTGTTTGAAGGCTTTCATGGTGAATAAACAATCAGTTTTTAATACAGTATTTGCGTCAGACAAAGAGAGCAAACTGAGAATTAGCCAATTAGCTACAGTGATTCTACTGCCACAATTCCAAGCAAGGTAACAAGGTATTTAACTAATGTTTGTCTCTCACCTTTGAAAAGTAATTGAGAGCAAATGTGATAGCTCTCATGGTGACTGGGTGCCCACGAATGAAGTAACCTCCGAAATAAACACGCTTCATGTTTTCTTGGTTTGCATAGAGACACGACATTTGTCCGATTCCATTGCTGATCATCAACAGAAGGCTCTTTGCAATGTCTTCACGTGCATAGTTACCATTTTCTTAAAAAATGCAGTTAGAAATAAAATCATCATAGCATATAAACTTTGGTTCGGCTAATACATTACATTAGATGAGCAAGTTTAGGGATATCACAGGGCTTATTGACTATAAAGGAGGAGCGATGTAAAGTGAAAATGTAGGCTTAAAATAGTGAATTAGAGGGGAAAGAATAGTACTCTATATTGTGAATTTGACAAGAAAACTTATAGTGAATAATATAAAAACAAAATCAACAAAGAATTTTGTGCTTAAAACACATTCATATAAAGACCGTATGATTTCTATGACACTTCCTTCGTTAGCCTTTCGACGACAGAAGTCTTGTGTGATTCAAACTTCTAGAATCTAGAATGGTCCATGGATATAAGGTAAATCCAAGGGTATTTTTCGATTTTTGCACCGCATACTTTTTCAACGAGGAGCCACAATTTTAAAATGAGGAAAGTTATTGCTGAACTAAGCACCGACAAAAGTTTTTCTCTTTACCTACAGTCAATAGCTGGAATAGTCTGCCATATCACATTGTTAATTCCACTTCTATAAATAAGTTTAAAAGCCACCTTGAAATGCACTGGCAAAATCACAGCCTGATGTCTTGAACAATAAGTTTCAGTTTTGTGATTTCTAGATGATATTCTGTAGAAAATGATCTTATCTTATCTAATATGATGGATACCTGAGCTAAATTGGTCGTCCATCGAATGTTTGACAGTTCTCCCGAAGTGACAAGCTAGTAAGTCCTCCGGCAGTCCCATTGCAGAGTAGGCACCACCGTAGATGTCCTTCACCAGCATGTCCACGTTGCGATGATCACCGGCCATGGCTAGTTGAAGCAGTTCATCAAAACCCTGTAGACCAATCACAAAACAATAAAACATCTACAAATTAGATGTTTAGTACTAGCAAACTAATGATAACTTGGTGTATGATTTTTTTTTCAATATACTTACAGTAGTTTCAAATTTAATAAAATGGGTAGCAATTCCTCCTCTTTTTCAACTACATTAAAAGGAGAGCTTCTTTTTACATATTAGATGTTCAATACTGGCAAGGTGAGACTTTATTTATACCTTGTTTCGCGAACTTATTTTTTTAAAGATAGTCGGAGGAGGGCGGAAAAAAAAATGTTGATTTTTCATTTAGACGGAGGAGACAATAAAAATCCTATTTTATTGGTGAATGTAAACAGTGTACGGTAGTAATGGGATGGTCCAATGCTTTAAAAACAAATATAGACATCTTAATTTTCAAAATTTCAAGGCAGACATAGGTGTAACATAAATTTTTTTTAAACTTTTATTTTTTTCTAAAATTTCCATTTTTTTGTGGCAGTGGGTTCGCTAATTGGCCAAATATAAAATTGTATTTTTATTTGAAATCACCATTATTGGAGGGCGGTGGGTTAAACAAGATATAAAAAAAGTCTCGCCCAAACTACTTATGGTATTGGTCCAATTATGCACACAGTACAATCTTCAGAGAAAAAGGGGATTGTCATGCAAATTCATTGACTGGGGCTTCAACACTGCGGCTACTGTGGGCCTTCAAGGACCCTGCCCAAATTTTCTGGTGACCTAACTGTATAATTGAGTTAATTCCACTATTCTATCTTTGAGACGTAACATATCAGCCCATTACAACATTTCACTGTGTATTAAATGTTGTGAAACCAACCTTAGCTTTTGTGAGAAGAGAGCCTAGCCCCCAGAAAGTTCCACCACCCATAGCCGAGCCTCCGATCCTCTCAAACTGTGTTTCTGATTCAACTTTAACTATACTGACACCTGACCCAATGTTAACCAGCAGGTAGGGAAATAAATTTGGGTCTGATGGTTGGAATTGATACTTCTGATTGGCATGTCGCTGGAAGATGAATGCTTCATCTGGAATATTCCTCAGCAGAAAATGTAACCCCTTTATTAAGCACTCCATCTCATCTTCTTTTTCAATCCTGACAATAAAAATCATATTGGCCCACATTAGTATTTATTTAAGTTCAAAGTTGACATGACGTTAGAATGGATAACGACATGACGCTAGAATGGATTTACTCTTGTGTGACTGTCCTATTGTTCTCTGCACAACATAGATTGGGAAAAATTGTGTCCTACAATCCACGCGAATATGAGAACTTAAAAGTTCTTGCATGTGCACATGACTTTGTGTGACGTCATTAGGTTTATAATCGTGCAATCAAAGGCTCCCTGGTAGCTAAGAGGCCCCCTAGACTACAATAAACCCCATGTCTGACACATTAGCTTCCCCTCCACCTTGCCCATCAGTGGTTGTACTGCATAGGGCCTATGCTTTAGGGGGTAATGTGTGAAAGTTGAAACAAATAATTTTTGACAGATAAAATTCTATGAATATTTAATTAAAAATTTTATTTGAACTTACGTTACTCCTAATTTCTCAGATAAAAGTTCTTTATACTTATGTGATCCGCCTCCTGTTGCCTTCACAATTTTTCCGTTCATTTGTTCTTCACTTTCTATTAAGTTCTGCTTGATAAAATCTAGACAACTTTCAATATACTTAGTTTCAAATTTAATAAAATGAAGACGGGTAGAAATTTCCTCCTCTTCTCCAACCACATACAACGGAGGGCTTTCTTTTCCATCTTCTGTTTGCTTTTCTGCTTCTGAGCAATGACTTCGTTTCTTGTGCAAGGTTGAATAGTATGCTAATTTGCATAATGATCCACCTAGATAACGATGTAAAAGACAAAGTAACTAATTGTATATATATTTATTGAAATTGTAAATGCTCCCCTAAACGAGCTGGTTTGAATAAATATGTCAACAGTAATACCAGTACCTAAAATTAAAAAAGCAATTCATTTGAATCTCCTGTTTATAATTGTTGTATTGTATAGATAGGCCTAGGCTAAGCCTAATTGTATGCCTCTGGGTCTGATTATGGCTAGAAAACTTGTTAGAATAAGATTTCATCTTTGGCCAGCAATCTCAGTCCTCCTTCTCTAGAAGTAGTAGGAATATACCTTGCCTGCACATACATAAGGCCTAGGACTAGCATTTTTTAGCCTAATGACTCTGACGGGGGCTGCTTGTGGCCCATGCATCCATATTCAGAATCTAGGCTGCCCTCTAGACAGGCCAAACCTACACTTCTTCATGCCTACGCCTAGTAGTAGTAGGCTAAATAATCGAGATATTTCTTAATTTTCTTACCGATATCTATAGCAAAACGTTTTGCATTCTTTAAATTTCTAAAAACTTGGTCGGGAGGCAGGGCTATGCAGTGTGCATAAGATGATGATTCAGACATGATTGACTACAAACCAAGGCTCTACTAGCCTAATTCACTTTATATTTTTATTATGAAATGTGCTGGTCGCCCGCAGGTCCTGGAGGAGGTGTTTATTCGCCGTCGTCGCGATCGTCGAGCGTTGGCAGTAGTGCGCCCTCTGTGCACGCCGGACCTGATCAGTGAAGCGTGGCAAGGTGGTTTGTTTACTCTGGTCTTGTTTTGTCTGAAACTCTGAAACAGTTTTTTGAATCACATAAAAGAACGTGCTCATTGATTGTTCTCGCTTTCTGATATTTACGTAGTTTTACGTTTTTATTAGCATATCTGTTGTGTGGTACACAAAAAAAATTAATGGTAAGTATAGTCGTTTGTACTAATAGTATTAGTTAATCCTCGTAGCTGAGCCTAGCCTATTTTTTTTTGTTTTAGACTTGGCCGGAAACATTCTAGTGACCGCCGTCGAGTCGTACCTCTCTCATCCTAGCTGCTGCGACGGGAGTTACAGCTGCCGGGCACCCCCGTCGCATTGTAGGTATTTCAGTATTGATTGGCGCAGATAAAAAAAAAATCAGTATTCAACATTAGTAAAGTATTTACATAGTGTCTAAATAGACAAACAATAAGTATTGTAATTTACGATTTAATTAACAATAGTCATATTAATTATAAATAAAAATATACTTACTGTTCATATGATAAGTAGGCTATTAGTTAAAAGAACAGTTGACTGAATTACATTTTACATTGATAAGATAAGATGCATATCATACATTACATAAAAACCGAAAGGTCCACTGATTATATCTCAGATAAGATAGTTTAATACATACAAATGATGATGACATAATTAATGTCGAAATATTGAATTTCGATACTTGATACATTACATACATAACATGAAAATATCAGTAAACAAAAGATAATAACAAAACATTATTAATGAAACGAAACTAAAATTGTCTACAAACGTAGTCCTGCCGCCTGTAAAAGAGACCATTGTATTTCTTCTTGTTGAATGTCTGAGAGGAACAATAGGCAGTTAGAATAAGAAGCCTGTTTGTAGTAACAACAAAACTTTGTATTTTATTTTTCATTGTTGAAAATCTGAGGGATCCACAATCGGCAGTTAGAATGAAAAGCCTGTTGTGGTAACAACAAAACTTTGTATTTTTTGTTGTTGAAAATTTGAGGGATCAGCAAAAGGCGGTTAGAATAAAAAGACTGTTGTAGCAACAAGAGAACATTGCATTTTTTGTTGTTGAAAATCTAGAGGCAAACAATGGGCAGTTAGAACATGGAGGAAATATTTCCTCCATGGTTAGAATAAGAACTGATTATATTGAATGTTATCAGTGGTAGATCATGGATCCTGGAATTTTAAATAAATAAAGGAACCACCATGGTTGGTTTGGGCCTGAGGTACAACATTATGTCTAGAGTAGTATGGCACTTTAGATTGCCAAAAATGTCACTTTTAGACTAAAAATTCCATTTTCCCCCTTTTTAAAAATTAAAATATTTTAGGGTTGGGGGTGTGGCTGCACTCCATCCCCTATTTTCCCCTCCCCCTCCCCTGCCTTGAATCATTCTGCCTATGTTTAAATCAAATTCCACTGATTGTTGTGTTGCAAGGGAAACAGGCATAGCTGACACCCAGTCCGTCCACCCAGTTGCATGTGAGGGTGCTTGAGATTTTTGTTTTAATTTTACTATTAGCTTTAAGGGCAGCTATATAATGTAGGCCTACTTTTGTTGTATTTAAGAAAAAAGGTAAATAAAACATGTATAATGAGGCTATATCATGAACATTTAATATTTAATTAACACATCCTCTAATAAAGTAGGCAAACTTCATCATATGAATGAATTGTTTGCAGATTATTATAAATTGTTTCCTACTCTGTATAAAGTATATTTGATGACTGCTAAGTATACACAGTTCTGTATGTTAGCCATGGTCTTTTTGTCCCTATTTTGGCCCTCATTGCAGCCTTGATGATGGCAGTAACCTTGAAGTTTGGAAATGTATTGTCTAGTACAGTTTAGTTATAGATCATGGAGGTTGGATTCAGTGAACTTGTGATGTCTAACAATAATGGCAGAATTATAAGGTGATAACAATAGTTTAATTCTAGTACAATAGAAGGTGGTGACCTTTCTCATTATTGCTGGAGGCTACAACATCTGATTTATGGCTAATCTGTGCTTAGCAAACAGAACCAGATTTAAGAGCATTTCCTTTCAGATGAAATATTTAAGCTGTTTGCCTTTATGCAATATGCTCATGTTAAAGATTGCAGTAGGCCTACTCTTGGAAAAAAGAGCAGGGGATTGTCTCCCGGTGTTGCCAAATTCACCACCAGAAGGACCCCTCTGAAAACTTGGTTATCCTTGATTCACACCAAAAAATACTCCATTCCTACCACACCATAATATTATTTTGCTTCCAATAATATGATATTTTTATAATTACAGTAGTCTCCCACAAGTTTGGCACATGATGTGGCCAGCTGGATTCAAATTTGTTTTTGAATATGTAGGTAAATAATGTGTGTCCCTGAAATGGTCTAAAAAGAGATATTCAGTAAAGCAATCCCTTTAATATTACTTTCTTCTAAGGCCCCATAAATAAAATTATTAGTTTATCACCCTATCAAAGAATAAAAACTGATGAGGGAGGGAGGTTTGTTTTTTTTTTTTCTTTGCCTATCCCACCCCCATTTTACCGATGATCACAAGTAAATCAATGGTTAGAGACACATATATAAAAAGTCATAAGAATGGAATCAAATTTATATTTAAAAAATATGTTTTTGTTGTACCAGTAAGCATA